TTTGTGTGTGTACACCGTTAAATCAGATCTGACTGGTACAGGAGGAGATTGCCCCTCCTTCCCCAGCAGAGCATCTGGTGGATTCGAACCGTGCGCCTCTGGGATTGCAGTGCAGCTTCTTGCCACTAGGCCACCAGAGCTCCCCTCAGGATACAGATCGTTATGGAAGGAGTTTGCTCATCCTTCTTCCTCAGAGCAGCACATAGATTTGAACTGCGAGCCTTTGGGCTGGCAGCCTAACGTGCTATGACTATACCACACGGTCTCCTCAAGATGTTTATCGACTACTTTAAAAGCAGATTCTGAACATTTTCTTTTATATTTTCTAACAGAAGTGAAGAGGTTGCCTTGGGCCAGTGGTGGACAAGTGGTCCAACGGTGGGGGCCCCACAGGTGAACTAGAAGCCCTAACCCGCCCTGTCGTTCTGTGTTTCTCATCTAGGGGCGGCCGTTGTCCTATAAGACGTTCTTGATATGGGTGTTGATCAGCATCTACCAAGGTGAGAAAGCCAAGCTGCGCTTGCCTGAGCTCTGAGCTGCCCGTGGGGTCGGGTCAGGGAGGGGGAGAAGGGAGGGCCTGGGTCTGAAATGTCACAACGACTGTGCTGGAGACATGGCCGTTTAGGGGCTTCAGGGAGAGTGTGAGTCAGGTGGCCATGCTCTCAGAGGGCACACCGTGCCGCCCACCTCACATCAAGCTGATGTCCTTCCAGAGAGTGGATAATCGTTCTGGGTCAGGGTGAGATCACGTTGTAGTTCTGAAACACACACACACACACACACACACACACACACACACAGCCCCCTCATGTACTACGTACACATACATATACGTACACACAACACATAAGTAGGGATTGACTGGCATAGTGATTAAGCACTTGACTGTGAACCAGAAGGTCACTAGTTCAAGCCTACTAGCTGCTCTGTGGCAGACAGATGCAGCATTCTGCTTCTGTAAAGGTTATAGCCTGGGAACCCCATGGGGCAGTTCGACTCTGTCCGCAGGGTTACTGTGAATCAGAAAGGACTGGATGATTGGGTTGTGAGTGTGTGTGTGTGTGTGTGTGTGTGTGTTTGTATTTTTGCTGTGCGCCCCATGTGTGTTCAGAGTGATGCTGATTTCATAGTTTTCACGGCCATGACCTTTTGGAAGTAGACCACTAGATCTTGCTCCTGGGTGGGCTTGAACTGACACCCTCTTCATTAGCAAATTGGCTCCTTAACCCTTTGCGCCACTGGGGACTCCCTGACAAGCATTTATGTCCGAGCTGTAGGAGTGGATCCTGTAGATGTCAAGGGCTTGCAGATCTACCTGTCAGAAAACAAAATGTCAAAACCTCTGTCTCTGAGGGAGCTCTGGTGGCCTAGTGGCAAGATGCTGCACTGCAATCCCAGAGGTACACGGTTCAAATCCACCAGATGCTCTGCTGGAGAAGGAGGGGGAAATCTCCTCCTGTACCAGTCAGATCTGATTTGACAGTACACGTAAAAATAATACAACAAACAAACAAAAAACCAAAATACCTCTGTCTCTCTGTGTGTGTGTGTGTACACGTTTTCTTCACTCTTTGTAGAATTTCTGTTTTCATGTCGGCTCCATGATACTCATAATGTTATTTTCACAGCAGCCTGAGATCCCTCTGTCTCTACACAGGAATATGTGTGTGATATACAAAGGAAAACATTTAGAATTAGGGCCCTTATTAATATTTTTAAGGTGTTCTGGTGGCCTAGTGGTAAAGAATTGCACTGCAGTCCTGAAGGTACGAGGTTCAAATCTCCCAGCTGCTCCATGGGAGAAAGATGGGCAGTCTCCTCCTATGTGATTAAACTGCGTCTGAAAACCCAATGGTCAGCTGTGGTTTGGTCCCGACTTAACAGTACACAAAACAACAATAGTAACAGTAATATTTTTAACTGTGGAATTGTGGGTAGGGAATTAGATTGTCATTAATTTTTAAAAAAATTTTTTTTTTAATGAAAATTTACAGTTTGGATTTCCATTCATTCACTATTACACTTTTCTCCCTACCCCCCCCCCCATACAGTCTTCTCTTTGAAAAGTAAAAGAAAAATTATTTTACAATCCCTCCTGCCAGGTCCACTCCACTGTGCAGCCTTCGCTCTGGACTCCTGTAATGACAAAAATACCTAATCACATATCCCTTTTAAACAGTCTTCTCCCTCATCTGTTTCAATGCAGTAAACATCAAGAGAGAGACCACTTATTAAACATGCATCTGGTTAGAAAGGTAAACCCGGTAGGAGGTTTGGGAGATCAGGCACCATCTTTGAATGGGGCACAGACGCCTTCCAGATGCCAGAGGCCGCAAATGTGGTTCTTGTGCGGCACATACGTGACCATGGCTTAGGATAGCAGTTACGGGACTGTTCTGAACCATTACAAAGCCCTGTTTCCCAAGTACAGAGGTTAGGACGTTTGACAAATCCTTTTAACACATTGCTGCAAATGACGGCAAAATGTGTTTCTAAGCCTGGCCATCAATTTAAAAGTGTGCAGCAACATGTTAATGGATTTAACGCAACCCAAGGGAAAAGTAGAAAAGCTGTATGTGACGCCTGTCCCGAAAACACGACTATTAGGTCCCTCCTTATCTTCATCTACCATGCGGTCGCCTTTGCGTCTGAGCGGCAGGAACTTGGGTGGGTGCGTGTGATGAGCGCCCGGCGGGGGTGCAGGCAGGGGAGCTCATGTCCGGCCCCCACCCAGCTGCTCTCGTGTGGCCTTTCCAGGGAGCACCATCATGTACGGGGCGCTGCTGCTGTTCGAGTCGGAGTTTGTGCACATCGTGGCCATCTCCTTCACGTCGCTGATCCTCACCGAGCTGCTGATGGTGGCACTGACCATCCAAACATGGCACTGGCTCATGACGGTGGCCGAGCTGCTCAGCCTGGCCTGCTACATCGCCTCGCTGGTCTTCTTACACGAGTTCATAGGTAAGACCCCGCTCGGCACCGAGGCATCCTGGAGTCTCCGCTGTGCACCGTGTGGCCTCAGGTTTCTTCTCGTTACACTGGGGGGGGGGCGAGTGACAGCTGTGACTCAGCTGCCTGGCATTGAGGGTGCTGGGGGTTTCAGTGTGGTTTTGTTAGAGACCCCACAAAGCGGAATGACTTAGGAGAGGGCTCTGTTGAATCCATTGAGTGTATATTGGATTTCCCAAGAATCACAGGACTGAGGTCAGTTGAGCTGTGGTGAAGTTGAGCATCTTAGTCTCAAATAAATGATAGTCTGGTGTGGGAGGGGGGCTGTTAGCTGCTTTAGAGGGAGCCTCCCTCAGACCCACCATGACCCCACATTAGGATGAAATGCTGCCTGTTCCTGCGCCATCTAGCTGGGACTGGACCAGGTGACCAAGCGTGGTTTTGCTTTGTTGTTGAGTACACTTAAACCTCACACTGATTCAGCCGTTCCTGCGTGTCCAACCCGGTACCATTATTTGAGCCATGTTTCCTGCCCGAGACACCTCTGTTCAGACTTGCAGGGAAGCTCCCTGCACGAGGTGGGGTTGGATTTCAGTTCTGCAGTCCTGTCCCCATACCCCACATTGTGGGAGGGGGCGGACCTCCAGCAGGGGCTGAGGTGTCACCCACCAGCTTGCTGGTCCCTGTTTCTTGGTCACAGCTCTTCTCAGAGGGAGGATCATGTCACCCCCGAAGGGGGTTGGTTCTGAAGGATGAGCAAACCTGATTCTTTTCATATATAAAATTTAGATAAGGGTACCATAGGAGGTCTGGTGGCACGGTGGTCAGAGTGCCTGGCTACAAATCAAAAGGTAGCGGTTCAAACCCCGCCAGCCGCTCTTTGGGAGGGGGAAAGTGTACCATCCACAGGGAGTTTTTATAAATATAACATATCTAGGAACTCTGGTGCCTCGTGGTAAGGAGCTGCGCGGCAATCCCAAAGGCACACAGTTCAAATCTACCATCTGCTCTGCTGGAGAAAGATGGGCACTTTCCTCCTGTGTGATTACCTCTGAAGAAAGCCTGCTTATGGGTCAGCTGTGGGTCAGCTCCGACTTGACAACTGGTACACAACAACAGAAACAACAACTAAGCAGAAAGGAGAGCCGTGTGGGTAGAGTTTCACGGAACGGATCCATTAGGAGGAAAAAGAATGCCCAAGAAGGAGTCCTTAGGGGAAGATTCGAGGGCTCTGGTGGCCTCGTCCAGAGGGCGTGGTGCTGCTCACCCACAGTGGTGCCCTTCTGCTGGGCCGGATCCACCAGCTGTTCCAGGGAGAGAGATGGGCAGTGTCATGTGTGATTCAGAGCCTTGAAAACCCGCTGGAGGGCCAGCAAGGCGTTGGTTCCAATTAGACAGCCATGGGTTTGGGGTGTTTTGGTTTTTTGTTTTGTTTTTAATTTTTTTTGGGTTTGGGTTTTTATAGGGATAATGACCAAGGAAGGTTAAGCACCCTGTATTACCATGTCTTCTCATTCCTCAGCTCCCAAAGCTCTCAAGAAAGCTCTAGTAAAGATAAAAGGAGCTTCCTTGGAAAAGTTTGAGAATAATCTAGGCTCGTCTCAGAAGTCTCTCAGAGTGGGTTTCCCGAGCATCTATTGTGCTCAGAGGCTCAGGGCTGAGGGGGCTCAGTGGTTGGGACGTGGCCTTGTCCTCAGGAGGCTGTGGCCACTCTGGACACCTACCAGTCACAGCAGGCCAAGGGAAGCGCCTGGGGACTTCTGCATGTGGGTGCAGCCCTGGCCGTGGCACTTGGTGACTGCCCAGGAAATACCAGCTGCCATGGCCCCCCTGTGCTCAGACACTGCATCCCAGCAGTCAGGAATCTGCACCAGCGTCTGCTCTCGTCCTCGGAGAAGCTTGCTGCTCTACTAAGAGCCTTCGTGCTGCCAGGTTCACCCTGACTGCAGAGCCGGGAGTGCACGCTGGTGGCCCGAGCCCCCAGGGGCTGCCTCTCTCCAAAAGGAGGGCTTGGCCTGCTTGAACCGTGCTGTAGGTCAGCCGTGACTTCCTGACACCTTGCGGCGGGGACCAGGGAAGAAGTGTCTGAGAAGCCGAGCTGTGTGTGGGCTTGTCACCTTGGTCTCTGCAGAGCTCGTGAGCCAGGGAGAGAGGGCCGCGCCGGCTGCCAGATCCCAAACCAGAAACACCTGCCGGGGTGGATGTTGCTCCCGTTTTGCTGTCCTTATTTTGACAGTGGCATTTTCACCACATACGAGGAAGCGACAGAAGTAAACACCCAAAACAAACAAAACACGACACAGCTCACCCTGCACACTGCTGTGAGTCGAGTCCGATGCCCAGCAGCCCCTTAGGACGGAGTAGAACTGCCCCACAGGGTGTCCAGGGCTGTACGTCTGTGTGGGAGGAAGAGTGCCAAATGTCTCTCCCGTGGAGTAGTGGGTGGATTTGAACGCCTCATCTTTCAGTTTGCAGCCAGGAGCTTAAGCGCTGTGCCACCAGAACGTCCTATTCATAAAAGATTTAAAAGAATAAATAAATTCCCAGACCCATTGCTGTTGAGTCAGTGCTGACCCCAGAGGACCTTACAGAGTGAGGTTCCCTCGGCTGGAAACCTTCCCTGAAGCAGCCTGTGGAGGAGCTGGTGGATTTGAACCCTTGTCTTTGGATCAGCAGCTGCAGACTTTAACTGTGATGCCACCAGGCTCCTCCAGAAGCCGATTAGAGAGACACAAACATGTTGACAACCTTAGGAGCTAATGGTGGTTTCTAGATGCTGTCAGCCTAGGATGACCCCATGCGCCATGCCTGTCCTGCACCGTATGCCTCATCACCCGTGATCAGTCTGTGTCCCAGAGGGTTTTCCCAGGCTGATTTTGAGCAGTAGATTACCAGGTCTTTCTTCCTAGTGTCTCTGTGTCTGGAAGCTGTTTCACCTCGCAGCAGCTAGCCCTCGCTGCCAGGTGGAGGCTGTGTTAAGAGGTGGGCTGGCCAGGAACTGTACCTGCCTGTCCCTCGGGGGAGGGAGAATTTGCCCACTGAGCCAGCAGTGTCCTCAGTGGGCCCCTCCGCCCGTGGCAAATGCATTACAGGCTCCGAGAGGAGAGGAGGAGGGACTGCGTGCTTGGAAGCTGAGTCCCTTCCCTCTGACAGCTGTGCTGACGGCTTCTGGGCCACAGGAGGCCTGGAGGGGGGACACTGGTGCCCGCTCACGGCCCCGTCTTTCCGTTTGCTTGCAGATGTCTACTTCATCGCCACCTTGTCCTTCTTGTGGAAAGTCTCCGTCATCACCCTGGTCAGCTGCCTTCCGCTCTACGTCCTCAAGTACCTGCGCAGACGGTTCTCTCCGCCCAGCTATTCCAAGCTCACGTCCTAGGCTGCCTGCGTGTGCACGCTCGCACTCCGTGGACAGAGTTCAAGTTCCGTTGCTCGGGTGGCCACGTGTGGACGTTGCAGTCACTGCCAGCGCCGTCCGGACGTGAAGACTGCAGTTGGGCTGCATCCTATCGCCGAGTAAACAGGAGGGGACCCCCCAGAGGCGCCCCAGCTCGCCCCTGTTTATTCCCATTTGAAGTGAATGTGAATGCGTTCAGGCCGGTGGCTCTGTGAGCGTCTCATGGGTCACTGTGCAAGCATCCTAATGACTTGAATTGTGTTGTGTGATAAAAGTTTCTGTCTAGATGAAGGAGAGGGGTTGGTTTCATTTTGTCCTAATAGCCGTGTGCTCTTTACCATCTTTTTTTTTTTTTTAAATAATAACTGTTTCAGACAAATTCAAAGCTCTAGGTGTATGTTTGGAAGGAGAGTGTGGCCTTTGGGAGCAAGTCCTGCAGGCGACACTTGGGATTGCCACACAGCCTCTGAGCCACTGCCGTGGAGCTGATTCCAACTCACAGTGACCCACTGGGGTTGCCCTGTTGGGCATCTCGACGGACGGACACAGTCTGCCTCCGCTCTCTCCTGCTGAGTGACGGATGGATTCAAACCAGGGATCTTCCTGATTGGCAGTCCAGTGCGTAATCCGCTGTGCCACCACGCCAGGCCTTTTTAGTGCAGCCAGAGCGCCCCCTAGAGGCAGGGATGGTGAGACTTCGTCAGGAGGGGGCCAGACCTTGGAAAGGACGTCATGCTGGGAAAGGTAGAGGTCAGAGAGAGAGAGAGACCCTCCACAGGACAGAGCGATACAGTGACTGTAACAGTGGGCCCGACGGCAGCGATGGTGAGGGTGGCGCAGAGTAGCTGGGCGTTAGAGTCGAGTCAGTGGCACCTAACAACAGCAGCAGGGACAACCTTGACGCCTGAGACGATGTTAAATTCTTTCGACGTGAACTAAAGATCAACAGAGGACAATATTTCTTTTCATTAAGTGGGAACCGACGGCTGGCTGACCCTCCAGCTAGTTCCCAGAGTCTCTAACGCCCATGGGAGGTGTCTGTCTGTCTGTCTTCCTCAGAGCTGCTGGTGGATTTGAACTCCTGTGGCTGGAGGGTCCACCTTTGGATTAGCATCTCACCTCCCTACCCACTGCGCCATGGGAGCATGTTAATTTGGTTGAAAGGAAGGCCAGTATACCAGGAAGAGGTGACGGCAAAATGTCGGGGGTTTTTTAAAGACTTTTTAAAAAAATGGTTGTGGAGGGGACAGGGAGAGAGCTGGCTGTAAACTGTTGTTAGTTGCCATTGCATTGTTGTTTACAGCAACTGTTTGAATAGAAGCATGAAAGCCTGTTCAGTCCTGCACCATCTTCCTAATTTCTTGTCTTGAATCTGGTTCAGCTGCTCCAGAACTTGTGTTCACTTTACCTGCCACCTCATTTAAAAATAAAAAATATAAAATTTAAAAAGTCTAAGGCGTTATCTGACTTGGTGAGGCCCTGGAAGCCATTAACAAGTCAGAGGCTCTCCCCTGACCAGCCCCTGCCTTTTCAGCAGCGCTGTGTTCTCAGGAAACATGCCGCTGAGCGGCCCCTAAATGTGTCGACAGTGTGATAAGAGACTCCGCTAATTCTTTAGACAACGTGGCAGATGTGACTCAGCTACCCGGAGTCCAGAGCGGAAAAGTCAGGGAGCCGGGGCCCCTCTCGGCTGCAGAAATCTGTTTCCTGTTAGGAGGGATTAGGGACAAGGGGAATGATGGTGGCAGAAGCATCCACAGCACTGCCATTCATCGGTGGGGGCTCAGCGCAGCCAGGAGCCTTGGGTGGGGGTAGCGGCCACAGCTGCGGCACTGGGACCGGGGCTGTGTCCTGCTGTGAACATATTTCCAGGGGGAGCTTGCTGAAAGATCCCCCACTCCCACTGCCCAGGAGGGACGACATGGCCTGTGTGTTTCCTACAAAGCTGAGGCTGCTTTCAGAGAAGGGAGCTGGAGACGTGGCAAGGCAAGGCATTCTTGGGGTTTCCAGTAACTTCTGGTAAAAGCCGCATATGCATGCCGTAAAGGTTGAGTTGTGGGTCCTCACTATGTGGGTAGGTTCAGTGTCTTGGAAAGGTATCCCATTCAGCCAGTCAGCACCTCACTTTCTGAGGGTGCTTCGGAAAGTCAGCACCAGCCAGGTTGCAGGGTAAACCAGGTGTGCAGAGTTGGAAATGAGAACAGCAGATGCCTTGGTATGCTTCTGCGCTTGGAGAACGTTGGGGAGTGTCGAGCACTGATAAATTAACAGATGTTACTTCTCCTTTGTTTTAAGAGTCTCACAGCCTTTCCTGTCCTCACAGAAAGATGGCGCTGCTGAGTGGTTGTTTGAATGTTAGGTGTTTGGCCAAAAACATCAGGAAGGTCAAGCGAGTCAGTCTTGACTTCTCCACTGCTCTTTTATACTTGTTTCAAAGATGGAGGAGGGGGGGGGAAATGTGTTTAAGTGTGCATGGAAACGTGTCTGGGTTGGTTTTGTTTCATAAGCTTATAAAACCGAAGCATCTGTCTACGAGCGCTGAACCAGCTGTGGTTCACCGGTAGAACAGGTAGAATCTTTGGGAAGAAAAGCCAGTGTTCCCAGAAGATGGTAGAGAAGGAACATCATCCTTTTTGGACAGATGTGAGGTTATTTTTGTTTTGTTTTTTGTCTTGTTGGCTTAATTATTGATGCCCAGTTTAGATCAAGGTGTGAGTCAGAGTTTCTCCGGGGGTCAAAAGCTGTAGGAAGTCAGTAGAGCCTTGTCAGAACCTTCCTTGAGCCTCTTGGCTCTGCCGTCTCAGCCAGCTTTGGAGGAGACTTAGGAAGAACCGGATGGAATGCTGTCATTGTGAGCAGACCACACCATCCGTGGACAGCACGCTGGGATGCGCCTTGGTGGCCCCCGAGTGTGTAGGTGTATGTGCATCTTGGTTGTGGGCCCCAAAAAAAAGGGCAGAAACTTCAGACTCCACAAAGCTGACTCTCAACCCACAGCAAATCTTCGAGCACCTGGGCCTGGGTCGTCTTGGCTGTGCAGAAAAAACAAAGAAGCAAGCACAAAACACACAAGAGCTTTTCTTATTTTTTAAAAAGCCAGAAATGCTCCTGAACTTGTTAGATCTGACAGCTTCTTGCTTCCCAGTTTGGAAAGGATTCACCTTGTCCTCACTTCAGGACTCACAGGACTTAAGATGTCAACAATAGAGAGTGAGATTATAGAACCCAGAGGCACACAGGAAAAGCACCAATACAGACAGATATTTCCACCAGCATCAAGATTCTTCTGATGGTTGTGGTGTCTGGTTTGGCGGTAGATGCCTGTTGGGGACAGGATGGCAGATCAATTAGAATTTGCTCTTTTGCTCCCCTTCCTCCTCTCTTCAAGAAAATGACCCTATTTGTGTCACCCTGAGTAATGCCATCTATCTGACAGCTTTGGTTCTGTGTTGAGTCTTAACAGGTATATGTGACCTATAAGACCAGGCAAGAGCCTGGCTGCACCATCCAGCTGCCCAGATGAAGTGAAGGGGGCATCCCAGAGTCCAGTCTAAAATCTGAGTGAAACACCTGTTTACAGCCACCTGGCCCTGAGAGGCTAATTGATCTTTTTCTCTCACTTTTGACGTTAGGACACCCGAGGCCCGCCTTCCTCAAGTGGAACCTCTGTTTCTTGCCGTGATCTTAGATGCCACGTTTGTTGGCTTGCCACCATAACCTCCATGTGTTTGCGGCTGGGTTTAAGCTGTCAGTACTTAACGTAGTGTGAATTTTGCTCTCATTAGAAATCAACATGATGTCGCCTCTTTTTCTTTCTGTTTCCAGACTCGTGTTTTTTATACTTCCATGGGTTTTTATTGGGGTGGGTCTGGGGGTGCACTTATGCCTTGGTGGGGCAGCGTTTTCAATCCTTGCCAACTTTTCACATGAGCTCCTTGCTCTTCTGTGCCATCCAACGTCAGGCAGGCATTCATCAGCCATCTTTGTCTTCCGTCCTGTTGTGTGTTGGAAATTGTGTGTGCGTGTGTGTTGCCATCTCAAATTTTCTGAAGGAATGCTCATTTTTTCATTGCATTAAAATTCCACCACTCCCAGCTTGGTTTCATTTAAAAATACACGAGGAGCTTTGTAAATACGACAGATTTTATCCCCTCTCTCCCCTTCTTTTAATGTAAAGCTTTTGCTTGTTTATATACACGGCTTAGGAAATGTTTCCATTAAGTGCATCTCTTTCTTCCTGGAGGTGAAAGGAAAAAAAAAAGACCTCATTCTGTTGTGAGTGGAACGGAAATTCTTACGCACGTGGGCATCATCCCCGCACCTGGAGTGACACGCCACAGCACCTTCTTGCCCGAGGCCACATCCCTGGGGACTGGGTCTTCCCCGTCACTGCCTGGCCTGAGAGGGCTACGTCAGTGAATATTGTGTTTGTGGGGGACAGAGGGTTGTGATGTCTGCAAAACAGCCAAACAAACAAACAAACCCCATTGGGGCTCATTTATGATTTTGTTGCAGTGAGATTAAAGATGTATGAGGGTCCATGGTGTGCTCATTCCTCTGCCTTTCTGTGTAATCCCTGTTGCTGATACTTGCCGGGACAGTGTTGTTTTGATTAGAGGGAGGCTCTGGTACGGATGCTTGAATTTCGCAGACACGCCCGGGTGATTTAAATGCTTGATGCTGTGATGGTACACATGTGAAATTTCGTGTTCCCAAGCAGCTTGTCTTTTATTGTTTGCCAGCGTGGCCTGTTGCAGTTACTCAATAAAGCTTGTGTACTTCACCTCTGAGGGTAATTTTAATTTGTACATGGATTCTGGTGCCAAAATGAGAGCTTTTATGATAACGTTCTTACTGTGTGCTTAAGGCGTGCTGGTGGGCTCGTTCAGAAGGCTTTGCACTGCTAACCCAAAGGCTGTACATCTCTGGTGGTTCAAGGTTCAAATCCACCAGCTGCTCTTTGGAAGAAAGGTGGAAAATCT